TACAATATATAGATGAATCTAACAATAACTTATAAATATCTTAACAATATCTAATGAATACAAAATATTTCATAAATCTCAATAAAATATTTCTAATAGATAGTATACATACATATACATATACATATATATATATATATATATATATATAGAATAACTCTATATCTCCACCAGGATTAAAAGAGAGGTACCTAAGCTGAAAAGAAAACATGAACAACTTACTGGCCTAGTTCCTTTGAAAAAGGTAGAGGCTGAATGCTGCTTGAGCTGCAAGAGAAAACGAACCAATTAATTTCAAACTGGAAACATAATTGCATGTTATTTTCTCATGAAAAGAAAGTGGAAGAGGAATTCACCAATCTTGAAGACGGGTGTGCTTCAAATCTCCTTGTTTGTAAACATGAGCTGTGAATCTGTGACTTGAAAATGGTGAAACCCATGATGGCTTCAGCCATTGTTTTGAACCAAAAAGAGGGATAGGAATTGGCTGTTATGCTATGCCTGTGGCCGCATATGTGGGAGAGAGTGGATAAGGGAAAAATTAAGAGCCACCCTCTTTAGTGTCGTTTTTTCCCCCTCAGTGTCGTTTTGGAGTTCTGCACTACTCTCCCCAAATAATAATTTTATTGCATGAAACAAGTTAGGCTCATTTGTCCAAAAAACACCAAATCCAAAATTCAATTGTAGAACTAAATTATCAATAAATGCCAAAGGAAAAATTGGAGGGGGGGATCTTATGCTGCTAAAATTTATTTTAAAGGATCATAAAAATTAAAATTAAGATGAAGGACCAAGCTATAGTCTTAGTATAAAATTTATCAATAATGCCTCAAAATTAAAGTGAGAGTACCACAGAAGTTATGAGGACACTGTTTTAAAAAATAAGGTTGTACAGTTTTTAATTTCACACATACAAAAAAAGAAGAAATAAAAGTAGTATTGCGTTTAATAAAATCAATATGATTTTAAAAAAAATTACTTTTAAATAATTAAATTAATATAATTAAAACTTAAATTAATATAATTTAAAAATATTTATTTTTAAAAAGAAAAAATATAATTTTGGGACACTGTACTTTGCTTGCTTTTTGTTATTAATTTCTATACTTTTATTTTTATTTTATTGTTTTAGGTCCCTTCATAAACAAAGTGTAGGAACTTTGGAGGAATATAAAACAATAAAAAATAAAAGCTAGGGATTTGAGGGTCTGTTTGGCAACATGTTCTAAAAACAATTTTTATTTTTTAAAATAAAAAAATAAAAAAATCTATTTGATAGCGTGTTTTCAAAAAGTATTTTAGAGAATAAAAAAATAAAATATTAGGCTAGAGAACATAAAAATTGAAATAAATTTTAGGCGTTTTGGGATTATTATTCTGGAGAACAAGAGATTATGATAAAAACACTAATTTTTATTATTTTTTTTCTTAGAACATGTTTTATAAAACACCAGTTTTTAGAATAATAAAATAAAAACAGTTTTAAACAGGTTCTAAAACATAAAAAAAGTGTTGAAATCAATAGCAAAATGTGAGTAGAGTGTAGGAATTTAAAGTTATATTTTTCTTTTTAAAAATTATTACATTTTTTCAAAACACCATATCCTAGTCTTTAGAATTCGAAATTTTCAATGTAGATGAGATCATGAACTTATTACAGGTTTCTTGGCTTTATTTTAGTTTATTGTTATTTATTTTCTTGTTATAAAAAAGATAACTCTTTCTCAAAATATGTGTTTTTGTTGGTAACTTTGAAATACAACAAGAGATGTGGTCAGAAAATATATATGAGATATGATTAAGAGTAATTTAATATTTTTAAATTTATATTTTTGATATTTGATCCTTTTATATAATTATTATTTTTAATATCCTCTTCAATAAATATTATTTTCTCTAAATTTATATTTTTGATATTGGATCCTTTTATATAATTTATTATTTTTTTGAAAGATAAAAGTTCTTTTACATCTGGTTATAATAAAAAATTACTTTTTTTTGCTTGAAATTGTTGAATTAAATAATAAAAAGGTTAAAGCTTATCTTTAATCCTCAAACTTTATATAAGATTTTTGTTTGGCCTCTTAATTTTATAAAGTCCTCTATCTCTAACCTGCTAGTTTTAAATAATTATTTTTTTATTTTAAAGTAAACTTAATATGTTAATATTTAAAAATAATTTATCAATGTTTAAAAATGCAATATAAGAAATTTTTGTTAATAAAATTAAGAAATTAACATGAAATACTATGTAAAGTTAAAAAACTAAATATATACTTTATCCTAATAAAAATTTAAACCAAATCTTAAAATTTTTCAAAATATTTTTTATTTGGGAGAATGATGTTAAAGTTTCAAAACAATGAATTTAAGAAAAGTTAGGTCCTTGACAAAATTTTTTTTGAAAAATAAGTTATAAATATTGATTTAGATAATTATAAATTCAAGAGTTTTAATAATAAATAAGATATTTAAATTTTAAATATAATTTTTAATTCATAGTTAGAATTCTTGTTTGCAATTGTTAGAATTAATATTGTTTGGTTAGACACCTACACTTAACAGGGGGTAAATTGAGTGTTTCACCAAATTTCATGGTTTTAATGATTTTCTTCAAAATAAGCTTATGCAAAGATAAAATAGAAAGATTGTTAAAAACAAATTATGTTTAACTTCAAGAACTTGGTTGCAAAGGTTTTCCAAACACTTAATAGAATAGTTAAATCAAGTTTCCAAAGTTCGTAGATAATAAATAAAAATTCTGAAATCCTTGCAGACACATATTAAAAAAGTTTTGAAAAGGAAAAATAGGTATTTAAAACAAAGATGTCAAAACGAAGTGCTAAAAAGGTTTATAACAAAATTTTTCTAAAGCCAAGAATCAAGATGGAGAGAATTTGAAAGGCTGAATGTAAATAGTAAGGATAGAAATGCTAAGACAAAAATACTGCACAAGGCAATTGATCATGATTTAATTTAATCACTTGACTTACATTCAATTATTAAAGTATTTTTGAAATCTTCTCCACTAAATTTCACAAGTTTAAGCGTGCACTTGTGAGCCACTATAATCTCTCCCTTAAAAACGGTGAGTACTTTACAATCTCACAAAGAAATCTCTTTTTTGAACTCGTAGCAAAGAAACACTTCCCTTAATTTTCTCACGATAATTGTAAAGTATTTCCTATAAATTTTCTCTTCAAAGGGATGATATGAATAATAAAAAAAATTCAATTGAACTCTCACAGAGAGTAGATATGACAATAAAATCCTATAGACTAGAAATAAAGAGCTTTTCAAAAACTTATGCAAATGTAGGTAGAAATTAGTTAATGCATCATAAATTTGTTAGCTACTCATTTAAATAAAGTTTTATATATAGTGTGAGGATGATTACAGCAGTTAGAAATTTCAACTAGACATTTGGAGACACTGCATTGCATGTCTAATAATAAAAACTAAGTTAGTGCATTTTTTCTTGAAATGCATTAAATACTTTTCAAACCTTAAGAACTCGAGTGGGTTAGGCTATCTAACATGAGGATAAGACGCTTAGAAACATTGACAAGAAGGCTTAGACTATAACACATTGGCATATTCCAAACAACATGAAGATGAGTCAAACAAAATCACAAGTTTATCTGAAACTCCAAAACTCATGTGGGTACAATCTAAACCACACAAGGAATAACTTCAAGAAATGAAAAACCTCTTGAGCACATTAAAAAACACATGGGTATCGAGAATTCGTCAGTAAGGCTAAGATACATTTTGAATACTGAAAAAGAATTTGACAAAGCTTGAGTGTTCAAGGCTCATACTAAAGTAAACTTGAGTAATACACCGTTGGACAAATCATCAGTAAGGCTAAGATACGTTTTGAATACTAAAAAAGGATTTGACAAAGCTCAAGGGTTCAAGGCTCATACTAAAGCAAACTTGAGTAATGCACGTTGGACAAATTAATCAACACAAGGATCAATATGTACAAGAACTCAAGTCACAATTTTGATTCAAAACTGATGAGGGTAAAAACTTCAACCTCACAAGAATAAGAAGTTTAGAACCTTGGTTTATATTGACATACTAGAGCTCACATGGGTTACAATTGAACCTTATGTGTTTTGAGTGCTTAGAACCAAATTTTCTTTTGGAACTCAAAAATTCATGCTGGCACTAACCATGCCCATGCAAGTTTGAGCGCCTCAAAAGTTCATTTTGCTATTGAAACTCTAAGACTCACGTACGTCATATTGGAACTCACATGTTTTGAGCATCACAAAATCAAAGGTGCTTTGGAATTCTAAAACTCAGGAGGGAACTTTTGGATACTTGTGAGTTTGAGATGCAGCACTAAAAATAATCTATGACATTTACTAAAATTTGCGTAGGATGGTCCGTTGTGAGGAAGAGGTTAAGAACATCAAAATGCACACAAATGTTTTCTAAGTTCAAAATTCATAAGTATGTGCATGAGCCTAAAACTTGTCTTTCAAAACATTTTGCTATGCATCTGCAAGCTATCATGATTCAAGGTTATTAACAAATGATCTAAAAGAAATATAAAGATTAAAAGCCTATAATCTAAGCTTCTTTTATGATCCTTTGCTCTCTTCGAATGTTGTTTAATAGTTAATTATATAATCTGTATGGTACAAAATTTATTTTTAACAAATATTTACAATTTATTTTCAAAAAGCTTTTGTGGGATCTTTTCGTAAATTTCTTGTTATCCGACTTTTATTATCATTTTCCCTTATTAAAAGATTTTTTCACGGAAACAACCGCAAACGGGCCTCTGGTTTTGAGAATTATTACTCGTTGTCACACGTGTCATGCTACTAGGAATCCACCTGGAAGCATAATCCAGCTCGTCTCCATTCGCGCCAATCATCCTCTGCCCTGATTGGCCAGACACCATATCCAACTTATCCCAACTTCGTAATCGCAGATAAGGTGTTCAATCAATTGTTTCTGAATCACACACTTCACTCCCAAACAAACCCAAAATACATATCGTCGTCCTCGTCGTCGTCATCGTCGTCGTCCACTGAATTATATTCCCACCCTGTCACTTCACTGAAGCACTTCACACGTATCTCAAGCTCCATTCCTAACTAATGGCTCAAGCTATGGCATCCTCAATGGCTGGCCTGCGTTCTTCCTCTCAGCCTGTGTTCGAAGGTAGCTCCCGCTTGAACGCCTCCGGCAACGGAAGGACTGTCTCATTGGGCCGTCAAGGGCTCGTCGTCAGAGCCCTGCAGGACCAATCCGAAGCCAGTCGCCGTGTCGTGCTCGGACTCGTCGCCGCCGGTCTGTCCGCCGGGTCCTTTGTCCAGGCCGTCCTTGCCGATGCTAAGCCCATCAAAGTTGGCCCTCCCCCGCCGCCGTCTGGTGGCCTGCGTAAGTATTTCCGATGATCATTCCTTCTGAATCTTTCAATATTGGAGATTCCCTGTACAGAATTTGAGAATTCAAGGTTTATAGATTTGTATGGGAATGGTTGTGGAATGTGGCAGCTGGGACACTGAACTCAGATCAGCCAAGGGATCTGCTGCTGCCATTGAAGGACAGGTTCTTCCTGCAGCCATTGGGGCCGAGCGAGGCGGCGCAGAGGGCGAAGGAATCGGCGAAGGACATAGTGAATGTGAAGGGACTGATCGAGAAGAAGGCATGGCCTTACGTTCAGAACGATCTGCGTTTGAAGGCAGAGTACCTACGCTTTGATCTCAACACTGTCATCTCTGCTAAGCCAAAGGACCAGAAGAAGTCCCTCCAGGAACTCACTGGCAAGCTCTTCCAGACCATCAGCAATGTAAAGTTCATTCTCCAGATCTATCAAATTTGCTTCAATTATTCCTTTGACATCTTAATTAACTAGGTTTTGTTTTCTTTTCTGTGCCAGATTTTAAATAACAAGTCGCAATATTTATCAAACTTTGATAAGTTTGAGTACAATATTCTGACTTTTTAGTCCTTCTTTGAATCGGTTTGTTTAAGCTTTTTTTAATTAAAAAAATACTTATGTTTTTAAAAGGAATTTATTTTGTGAAAATTGATAATATTTATTTAAACTAAATATTAAAATAACTAAAAAATACATTATTTTCTATAAATAGAGATCCACAAAAAAATTAGATAAAAATCCCTTATTTTTATATCTTAAATAAACGGCTTACAGGGGCTTTCCTCTTATTTTGAAAGCATCTTACATTATCGCAGGTTTCCTTCAAATTTCTTATATATATATAGAGAGAGAGAGAGAGAGATTTGGAGGGCTACCATTTTGAAGATTTTCATTTGAAATATGATTTTTTTTATTATTGATTGAAAAGTCAGATTCATTTTATGTTCCATTTTCAAATAAAAATATTGAACATAAAGTGATAAAAAAAATAATGTACGAACAATTTAAATTTAATTCGAAGAGTTTTGGGGGGTTAACTTTTTTTATTTTTAATTTAAATAATAAATTCATGAATGTATAAAAAGAAGTATCAATGGTTCATATTCGATTTAGGTGATTCATACACGCACACACATATTAAATTTTATATTTTTGAATCAACATATTTTCATTTAACAAGTAAAATATTTTAATGTTTTTATTTTTTAAATTTAAAATAAAAGTATGAAAAATAAAAGATAAAATAAAATTTGAATTTTTAAAAATTTACTATGGAGCATCAGTATAATATATTTACTCTCTGATTTTTTTTTAAAAATAAATTGATACTATCAATTTTCTGTAAGGTTTCTCAATACAAGGGCATTTTCCTAGATAAAGAGAAGAGTAAAATAAATATTTGAGACAGAGATTGCGTTAAAAAAATTACATGCCTACATATTCACTACATCGATTTTATTTATAAATTATTTTTAACATACTTCATTCAATCAAGTAAAACCTTAAATGTGATTAACTATGTTTTAAAATTGAATAAATTTCCACCATTATTCCTAATAAGGACAAAAAATTATTTTTAATATATTTTTAGTATTTAATAAAGATATAAAGGTAAAAATAAATGTAAAAAAAAGTGAAGTGTAATCAAATTTAATATCCTCTCTCTGGAGTACACACTTTTTATGAATTTGATGGCCTACAATTTTTTTTTTTGATGATTGACTTAATTAATTATGTTTTAACTGATCAACAGTTGGATCATGCTGCGAAGATTAAGAGCACACCAGAGGCAGAAAAGTGCTATGCAGAGACAGTCTCTACTCTGAATGATGTTTTAGCCAAGCTTGGTTAATATAATAATAAAATAAAATTCCAAGCCTCTTTTTCTTCTTCTTGTGTAAGATTAATTTGTGTATGCTTGTCTCGGACTGTGTTCTGTTGGATGCTATTTCAAGAAAATCAGACGAGGAAAATTTTACCACCTAGCTACTTACAATTCTTATTGAATTGCATTTGGGTCCGTTAACATCACAGATTTTGCATTTAGAGGTTCTTATTCTAATTAATTGCATGATGGATTATTGGATAAGCCATTTTGGCATGCAAGGATCACAAGTGGGGTGAAGGAATTGAGGGTTAATAGAGGGCAGAGGCAATCAACTATCATATAATTCAACCGATACTTTATCCTCAAATGCTTATGAGTTTATTATTATTAATTTAATAATAATAACAATTTTGAATTTTAGTAAAGCAAAACATTGAAAAAAAGGGAAAAATTAATCTATCACAATATAATTTAAAATTGAGAGAAAACTATAAAGATTTGTAAATTCATTTTTCTCGTTTTAAAGTCAAAAGTTGGGCCATAAAAATTTGACAAGGGGGAATCGATATATTTAAATATTTATATATATATATATATATATATAAAAGAAAGTTAGTGTGAATTTAGTATAGAAGCTAATTAAGATCAAAATCTATCTCTAGATTCAAAGAAAATTTATTGATTGCCAATCAATTAGGTTTTCACATTGACAATACAATTTGATCTCATAATTTTATATATTATAAATCAAATCTTTATTAATTGAATTAATACTTATTGGTTTTAAGACTATACAAGCATGGATAGGACATGACTTTAGCCTAATTAAAAGACTGATTTCTTTTATTAAAAAAACTTAGACAACTTATAATTTGATTTGGGTAGAACTCAAAGTTGAGGAGGAGCAAACCTGATTCATAAGATTAACAAATGAAAAGATTGGTTTTAATAATTTAATATCTCACTTGGCTTCCTCCCTCCCTCCCTATGAAAAGTAACAATTTATTTCAACCCAAGGTGAGGTGAGGCTAGGGCACAGGAGGGGCATGCTAGGTCAATAAGAGCAAGAGCGTAACTGTGTGAGTGCGTCTTGTGTCTCTGGTCTATAGGTGACTGACATCCTTTAATATTTTCCACCTACTTATTATTATAATTAATTAATTATAATTATATTAAAATAATTTTAGAGTATTAGACTAGACCAATTGGCCTTGTAGCTTGGTCTTTTTTCAAGTTCAACCTGAAAATGAAATCTGACTTTATTGGTCCTTTTAAGCATTTGGATAAATTATTTTTCCTGACCGAATTAGATCAAATTTATTCGAGTTGGATTGAATTAAACAAGATTCATGGGTTTTTGCACAATTCTAGCTGGCTTCATGCCTACCGAATCTAGATCCTCTCCATATATTCTCTACATATCTCTCTCCCTATGCAATCTTTGCCACCATACTATACTACCTTGATCCAACGGTTCCCACTTTGCCGAGGCAAATATTGAATTTGTGCGTTGCATGATGAAGATAAGATGTCGTTACTAACAGTTCTAAGACCATAGAATAGCATAGGAATGGCATCCATCTCTTAGATATTGAATCTTGTGATATCATTGGCGAGGGGCATCAAAAACAGTCAATTTCCTTCTCTGACACGGAACAGCTGCATTCATCTCACACAAAATGGTGGCTTACTGGACTAGGCTTGTGACAAAAAGCGGCATCGAGAACAGTAAATAAGGAACCACATCCATCATCTTGTCCGATGTGGAATGGTGGCATAAGGGACCAAATCAATCTCCCTTGGCAAGATAGATGAGTTTCTTCACAGCAAAATTGCAGTCGGAGGAATTTCTTCATTCAAGGACAATAACAACTTGGTGGGTCTGTACGAATTTCTAGTTGTTGCAAACTTTTGACCTTGAGAACTTTTGTTGTTAGGGGATCTCTTGATGTGTACTTATGTTGACAGGTTGTTGTGTAGATTTGGAAGGGAAGAAATAAGTATTTTAGTGGCATAATAATGGAGTTTTGGCATAATAATTCAAAGTGGGAATCGTTGGATCAAGATAGTAGAGTATGGATGGCAAAGATTGCATAGGGAGAAAGATATGTGGAGAGTGTATGGAGAGCATATAGATCTAGGGCTGCACAAAGGACTGGACGGGACTGGACTTCAGCCTAACCCGAAGTCTGGTCCTTTTCATGAAAAGGACTAGGTTAGGCAACCCGTAGTCCAGTCTGGTCCTGTGAAAACCCGGAGATTAACAGGACCGGACTTAGTCCATAGGATTGGGAGACTGGTCTTGTTAGTCCAATACTCACTTGACTTTTTTTTTCTTTTTTTTCTCTATGATAAGCAATAATCCATTTCAACCTAATAAATTCAATTAAGATAATAAAAACACTTATAATCATAATAAATTCATAATTCATAATGATTTCTAACATCAAGAAAATAATATTTCAGTTACAGTCCAAACTCCAAATGATTTAGATATATAACTTCAACAAAAACACTCAATAAAGTTTAACACTACATTACATTTGTCATGTAATTATCTCCTTAGCTTCAACAGAAACAAACTTAACAAATCTTCAAATAATTATCTCCTTAGTGTCAATAACACTTGAAGCATCTGTAAAAAAAATCATATACACATATATAAAGTGATTAGTAAGTGTAAAAATGCAATATATACATTAAATTAAGAGATATAAAATTGAATATATTACCTGCAACATTAACCACATCGTCAGTCTCTTGAAAATTATCAACCTCATGAAACATAGAGACAAACTCTGAGAGAGATTGCCCTGCAACTAGCCAATTCTGGGCACAAATGAGTGCTTCAGTCATCTTAGGAGATAAAGAACTCCTATAATCATCAACAACACGTCCTCCAGTGCTAAAAGCTGATTCAGAAGCAACTGTAGATACTGGTATAGCCAATACATCTCGTGCTATCAAGGAAAGCACTCTATACTTGGTAGAATTAACCTTCCACCATGTCAAGATATCAAAATCATCATCATCATCATCAATAGGGGTGTCCTCAGATGTACTAGCAGAAAGGTATCTGTCCAACTCTGATTGGGTATCAACTGATGAGCTTTTTTGCTTCAGGGATGCTAACCATCTACGACCAGGGTCTTTTTTACCTTTACTTGCATTTGAAGTGTTGGTGTCAAGAGCACTTGGAGAGTTGATACTACCAGAACTGCTTGTATCAGGACCAATTATTGCAAAGTATTCCTCAAATAGGCGATACAAAGTGTCTCTTGCCTTGTTCTTCATGGACATACAAAGGTCAGGGGCAGGAAAAAGCTGATCAAATACATGATTGATATAGGCAAGCTTGTATCGAGGATCGAGAATCACAGCAATAATCAACAAAGGGTTCAAATTATCTGTTGCCCCCCAATACTTATCATATTTTCTCTTCATGCTCAAAGACATTTCCCTAAGAAGAGGGTCATCACTTTCAACATTCTCATCTAACAACTCTTGAATTAAAGCAATTTGATGGAAGCATGTATGTGTAGTAACTTTCAGTATGCTAGAAAATTGTAAAGTGACATCATAAAACACCTTCAAGAACTTAAGAAAGAACCGTGCTTTATTCCAAGCTTGTTTGTTTGGAGGGCCATTACGCTTAGGAGGAGCTTGCCTAGAGTAAGCAAAAGCATCTATGTTGTCATCGGGTCTAGCATCTTGCCTATAAACATAGGCATCTATGCTACCCTCTAAACAAGAAAAGTCACTTTGAGCATGACGCTTTGAACCTTTGTTGAAGTAACTAACAAAATCTTCATCTTCATCCTCTAATCTTTCAAATGCCTTTTGAAACTTCAAAGCCACATCCAACATTAAATATGTAGAATTCCATCTAGTACTGACATCAAGGCAAACAATACTTTTTGTGTCCAACATTTCCAATTCACAAACATCTTTAAATCTTTGCAAGCGAGCAGGAGAGGAACGAACATATCTAATAGCATTTCGAATGGACTCAAAAGTATCTTTCAACTCCTTCAACCCGTCATTAACAACTAGATTAAGAATATGTGCAGAACACCGTAGTTGAAGATAATCATCACCACAAACAAGACCCCTCCAATTCTTTAAACGCCTTTTTAAGTAAGACAAGGCTGTGTCATTGGAAGTTGCATTATCCATAGTTATGGTGAACACATTTTGTATGCCCCAATCTGATAAGCACCTTTCAATTGTCTTGCCTATCGTATCACCTTTGTGATTCTCAACCATGCAAAAACTAAGAATCCTCTTATGCAAGTTCCAATCATTATCAATGAAATGGGCTGTCAAACATAAGTAATTGAAGTTTTGAACTGATGTCCAACAATCTGTAGTGAGGCAAAGACGATTAGTACACTTCTTTAACAAATTTTTCAAGATTCTAATTTCACCAAGATACAATTGCCAGGCATCTCTAGCCACTGTTGTTCTTGAAGGGATTTGAAATCGTGGTTCTAACTCCTTCACAAACTTTTTAAAGCCTTCCTTCTCAACAAGCCTAAATGGCATCTCATCACATATAATGAACTCAACTAGAGCCCTGCGACATCGTTTCTGATTGAACATATGAGGTACTAAGCTTCCCTCTTGCCCACTTGGTGTCACATAATTCAACATCGATTGCTTCATCATTTGTGTAGCTTTATGTGGATTCTTGGAACACTTTGGTACATGCCTCTTCAAGGATGTTAAACCATGCTTGCCTGGGTCACAAGCATAATCTAAATTACAGTACTTGCATGCAGCTCTAACTTCTCCATTTGTCTCCTCCAATGGTAACTTAGTAAAGTGTTCCCACACTTTTGACACCTTTCTTGTAGAATTTTTTCTCTTTCTACTACCTTCTGTAGCTTCACTTTCAGTTACAGTTGTAAGAGGAGGAGGACATTCCATAGTAGTTGGGGGTTGAGGTGGAGGAGTAGGTGTCAAAGATGGTTCAGAAGGAGTTGAACTCACATTTTCACCAGTGAAAGGAGACGATTGAGGTTGGTCAATACTAGATGTTTGCTCAATATCCATTACTTCACAATGATAAAATATAATTGACAAGTTATAACAGCAAAATGGTAAAAAGGAAGCAAAATAGACAAGTTATAATAACACAAAATCATGGCAGGGAACACAAAAGCCAGAAAATGAGAGCACATAATTGATAAGGTGATTACTAATAAAAATCATCCCACAGGAATGTCCTTCTAATAGAGCAACACAGATATGAGGAAAAAACTTTAAACAACTTCTAAGGCAAGTCAATCCAAACCTATGTAACAAATTTTAATCCATATTAAACAACTTCTAAGGCAAGTCAATCCAAATTTTAATCCATATTAAACACATAAATGAATTTGATAAGCACGTTGCAAAGGCACAACAAGACTGTCTAAAAATGATAATAATTGATTTTTATTTCTAGGTAACTGAGCATAAACATCACTAATACAAATAAGAAGTATCTCAGTGCCTATCCAAACTGCAGTAAATATTCAAGTTATAAATATGAAGAAATTTCTAATACATTCGAATAGCCTGCCTTGGATTTCAATTATACTCATTATACAAGGCTTAGTAGTCATTAGTTGATTTCTATCAAATACAATGATTTTAAACAAAAAAAAAACAAAATACATGCTTCCCGCTGCTCCACGCATGCTTGCTACCCATGCCCATGCTATTTCTCAGCAAAATTAAGCACCATAGAGCTCAGTTAAAACAACTTTCTCCCAAAAGTATCAGATTGGATAACGAAACAGAGAGAAATATAAGGGAGGTACAGCAATATATCAGTGGCGCAATGATCCAGTGTATATAAGGGAAGTATCAGATTGAAAGTATGTAAGGGAAGTTCAGAAATATACCAGTGGCGCAATGATCCGCTCACGGTAACCTCTTCGCTTGTCGTCCGGGAATTGGCGAAAAACTTAGCAGAGCAGTTGAAGCTGAAGCAGGTAAGTACGATTTAATTTGAGGGAAAGAAATCTGTGCCTTTGAATCAGAGGTTAGGGGTAATGGAGAGCAGGGGTAGGGCGGTGGTGTGGCGTGCTCAACGGTGAATCAGATGCGAGAGGCGATGCCGATAATAGACGGACCGACGTGATTGAAGCAGAGCAGCGGTGGGTAGGATTGCAGGAGAATGGCTGGAGCGAGAATGAAGAGGGAAGAGCAATGAATCAGAGATTAAGGCTCGAGCGAGAATGAAGAGGGAAGAGCAAGGGCTGTCGACGTGATTGACGGTGGTCGGAGGTGGCGTACAGGAGGAGGCAGGGGCTAGGGTTCGGCGCACTGGAGAGTGGAGAAACTGAGAATGAGTTTTGTGGTCGAGACCGGAGTAGCTGCGCGTACTGAAGCCTGAAGTAATTAATAATTTATAAATTATTTTTAATTATATTAAAATAATTATATAGGACCAGACCGGACCACTTAGTCCAGATGCTTGGTCTCTAGTCTGGTCTTACCCGAAAAATAAGTCCTGTTTTTTTGGTCTTTTTAGACCTGCAGGACTAACATTTTATAGGACTGGACTGGACCGGGTTTTCACGGGTCGGATCGGGTTGGATCAGACTACAAGATTTTTGCACAGCCCTATATAGATCCCTACCTATCTTGTTTCTAAGTGGATGATTAGGACACCGCACGCTACATGAACCCCAACTCCAAGTCAATCTCTTGGACCCCAAAGCTGGAATGGAACCCTCTCAGTGTTTAATCATTAAAATTATCACCGGTGTTAAGAAAAGGATAATTAAAAAACTTAAAGTGATCATTAACCCAAAAAAAAATCTTGCCATTTTATAAATGGAAGAATGACAGAGATGTCTCAAAAAAATTAATCAATTTAAATTAAGTCTCAAATGTTAAATTTTAAAAATTTACAATTTAATTTTTAATTTTGTAAGTTCTTTATAATGAATTTGTAATTATTATTTTAAATTTTAACAATTATATTAAAATTTAAAAAATAAATTATAAATTTATTTATAATTTTAAAATTGGAAGATTGAATTATAATTTTTTAAAATTTAACATTTAAAACTTAAATTAATTAGTATTTTTGAACTCTTTTGTCATTCTCCCATGTTTAAATTTTCCACGTACGCGCGCCCCCCAATTGCAACTTTTGCAAGTCCCGCATGTCACAAATCTAATATCTGACCGTACAATTATTCACACCAATCAACGGTCTGAGATCAACGATCCGAGAGACGTTTCCTGATTGGCCCAAAATCTTCATCCTTCCTCGTTATAAAAAACCAAACGGAGCCATCGGACTCCGCCGTACCAAGAATCGTCATCGACGCCTGACCTCAAGTTCTTTAGGAGCAAAACCCTACCTTCTCTGAGAACAATGGCCGGAAGAGGAAAATCCCTCAGTGCTCGCACCGTCAAGAAAGGTGCCTCTCGGAGCAGCAAAGCAGGTCTGCAATTTCCCGTGGGTCGGATCGCCCGCTTCTTGAAGTCCGGGAAATACTCCGACCGTCTCGGCGCTGGCGCCCCAGTCTATCTCGCCGCCATCCTTGAATACCTCTCCGCCGAGGTATGTTACATTCCTCAGAATCACCATTTCAGAAATGGAATCCGATCGTGCAATTCTCAGGCTTCATAGATCTCGCTTTCGTTAATTTGAAAATACAGTGAATATTGATCGTGATTATTCGTGAATGAAATGCAGGTCTTGGAATTGGCTGGGAATGCTGCGAGAGATAACAAGAAGACTCGGATTGTGCCTCGGCACATTCAACTGGCGGTGAGGAACGATGATGAGCTGAGTAGGTTGCTGGCGAACGTGACTATCTCAAACGGCGGCGTTTTGCCGAACATTCACAACTTGCTCTTGTCCAAGAAAATTGGCATGGGATCGAAAGTTGAACAAGAAAGTTGAGCTCTGTTGATTGTTTGATGCAGAAACGTTCGTAAATTCAGACTGGTTTTGCTTGTAATTGAGAATATCTACAGATAGTGTAGAGCATTTGTATCAGATAATGGAAGAAAGCTTTCTTAGTTTTGAATTACTGTTACAAAAAATCAACGGTCCACTATTAATTCACCAATTTCACTAATATATATATATATATATATATAAATTAATGTAGCAATTAAAAGAAATTAAAGAATTTGAAAAACTCATGGACATGGTCATATGGTAATATAGATAATAAAAAATATATTTTTTAGTTCTTGAATTTTTTAATTATTGATTTAGTTTTAGAATTTAAATTAGAACAATTCAATCTTTATTATTTCTTTCATTTGGAATAATTTAGTTAACTTAATGAATTACCTGGTTGAGTTACATATTAAGTTAAATTTTTAAAATTAAATCAATAATTAAGAGATAATTTAAAAATTAAAAATTATATTGTCCCAAACTAATAAGAGCATGATAAGACATACTCTTTTTATTTAAAAATATAAAATATTTTTTGAGAAGTTAAATGTTTAAAAATGTAAGATATTTTTAATATTTTAAGGTATAATTATTATTTTTTAAAAAATATCTCTATTGATAATGATTTTATATTTATTATAAGGTATTTAATAAGGATAAATATGAAAAGATAAAGTTAATTTGAAAGTAGGTAAAAACTTTATTGGAGGGTGAGATTTTATTAAAAATATTTTATATTTTTTAATAAAGGAAGTATGGAAATTCTGTTTTCACTTTAGTATTTAGATTAACCATCAAAATATTTCAATATCAATACACATACATTAAAAATTATAATAAATAGTATTATTTATAAGTTAATGACTGTATAATTTATTATCATGGAACAATTGAATACATGAATATTTGAATCCAGAAAGGAATACTCCATTCTTATTACATGGGCTAAACCTTGATGATGGTTCAGATATGTCTATAGTTAGCATATAATCAGTTTATAACAGTAAAAATGGTAAACTATATCTATCAAATTATCTTTTTATTCGTCTAAAAATTCTTGCCTCCTCAGGCGGTAGAACGGAGAATTAAGAAAAAAATTAGACAATATTTCCGACGATGATAATGTGAATTAATTTTACAATGGACAAATCATGAATTTTGAAGCAGAACACATACTCTACAAGGCCTTCGTAAAAAATAATTTAAGTTACACACAGATTCACTCCTATCTTAATTATAAGGTAAAGTTTCAAAACTATATTTAATCCTCAATATAGGATAGCAATTAACTTTTTTTTTTTGGGTGTGTGGCAATATTGTCGCACATTAATTGCACAAAGTTGTAATTCTTAGATAAATTTTATTGTAATTACTAATTGTAGCAAATGACAAAAGTAAAAAGTCAAACATTTTAATTTTTTGAAAAAATTACATCTAAGTTTTACAGAATTTATTACCAAAAACTCTAATAAAATTTATAAAATACTTTTTAAATTTTAAATCCTACACAATTATAACTTAGATAACGGGCCCTTACAATTGATTAATGGACACTTATAATTTTCTATTATAAGTTGTCATTTTTTTGTTTTGCAAGTTGCATGTGCTTGTTGCCCAATTGTAAATGTTCTTATTCAAGTTGTTAATGTGCAAGATTTGAGATTTAAAAGTATTTTGTAAATTTTATAAAACTCTCTAATAATAAATTATTTTTTGTAAGACTTAAGTGTAATTTCCTAAATTTTTTACATGTTTAAAAATATTAACGATCATTCTTTAAAAATCATGATCAAGTTAATTAACTTTACCTTATAAGTAGGATAAGAGAGAGTATATATTTATGGGTTTGGTCGTGGTGTTGATCTCTGGTCTTCTCTAGCAGCAGCAGCAGCAGAGACATAGTAGGAAACAGTGAAGAGGCCATGGATGAAACATAAGATGCCTCCAATGGACAGAAAACGATGAGTTGAAATGCCACATTGTGCTCTTGACCTTGTCTTTGTATTTGCTAATGTCCCCATTACCAACATTGAGAATGCCACTCCCAATGTTACCCTGCATCAAATTATTCCACTTCTCTAGTTTTATTGCTAGGCATTTATTCACATTGGCATCTTCTAGAAGATGGTTTTGGAGATAAGTAGAAAAGAAAAGGGGAGAATGACATTTAAAAACCTTTTAAAAATATTGTTTACAATCAATATTATCAGAATCAAACTGGACTGATGAATCTGATTAACACAAAAAGCAATCCATCCTGAGAATTGCTAAAAAATTGGTTGAATTGTTTTCAAACCAACTAGAACTGACATAATGGTGGGCTAATTGGTTGAACCAATCTTTTTTTTATTTTTTTAATTTTTTTAAAAAATTAATTCATATTTATAAATTATAATTTACGGATATTTGTACCTAATAAGTAATGAGCATTGATAAATGAAAACAATGAACAAAATTGTAAGAAATATGTATATAATGAGTATATATGTATATATTTTAAAGTTATAAATTATAAATTATGAAATAAGTACATATATTTTGGATAAAAATGATGGAATAGTGATGGGTATTTCCTTTTTTATTTTATATTATTTTTTTTAAATTAAAAATTCACTTTGATTATTATATTTTTAAGTATATATTATTTAAAACATACTAATTTATTCAAGAGCGGTGGAACCATGATTCGACCATTGAATCGTAAACTAATACCTCATTCGATTCAATGATTGATCCAGTTTTCTTAACATTGTTTATAGTTACAGATTCTAAAATTATAAAATTTAAAAAAATGACCATAGCTTTTACCCGAAATTAAAATTTGAAAGAATGACAAATACAGATCTCATGAGAATATCAATGTGAAATTAGTTTTTTTTTTTTTTTTTTGACAATTGAGGTTCCTAAATTCAGAACTCATTCTCCCATACTCCAATATTGAAATCTTTAAAAAAATCTTAATTTATCATTAATCTTTTTATAGGGTCCTTACTTGTCATTTTCCCTCAAAACTTTCTCTAGTTAATTTTTTTTAGTACTCCTTTTTCATATTTTCATTGTTTATCTTTCACATCTTCAGTGCTCAATTTTTCAAGTTTTCAACGATTATCTTATATGTATTAAATACTCATTTTTCATGTTTTCAATATTAAAAAACATTTTCAAAATTTTTCAGTATCAAAACCATGAAAGATGAGTATTGAAAATATTTAAGATGACTATTGAAAAAAGATAAAAAAAACTATGTAATGAAAATGTTATAAAGATGACTATTGAAAATGTAAAAGATGAGTAATAATTAATGAAAATGTAAAGCTGAATAATAAAAAAAAATTCAATCAGAAAAATTTTAACCCCAACTAAGGACTATAGTCTTTTTCTAAAATTTCATAATGTTAGGGTCTCTAATTTATGACCTGATAGATCTAAGAGTAGCAAATTAAATGAGAATCGGAATTTATGAAAAATAGAGAGAATTTGTTTTGACTATATAAATGATTACTTGTATTGAAATCTTTTGAGTCAAACATAGTCATGCTTAAAGTGAGAATTGTTTTTTTTTTTGTATATGATAATTCTAATTCTCAAAAAATAATTTTAAAATTTAAATTTATTTACACATCATTATTTATCCATTCTTTAAATTAAAAAAATATTTGACTATAATTTTCTTTATGTTTTTTAAAAAGAGAAGGTGTGGGGATTAAAGTACCATGAGAAAATGAGGAAAGCCATTCCAAGCTGCTTGTTGGCAGAGGCTCTTAAGTATTGTTGCTTGTTCCAAACACAAACGCAGCCTCCCAACAAGTTAGCAATCAAATGAGCAACAGCCAATAGAATCGTTGCAGCCAATCCTAACTCGAAAGCTTTGAAACTCGGATCTCTACACTCTACTATCCACATCTTCACATGCTTCATCTATTTAATTTCATCGTATCAAAATATATTACAATCTTAGTTATCAAACATAGTAACATGAATCACACGATACCATTGGATTCTGTGAAGAACTAACTATCCATGTATTGTTTCAAATCATTACATCATTCATAATTAACCATAGTAAATAATTTTGAAGAAAATTAAAAACAAAAGATCGATATAGGAATTTTTGGGGAGTCATTAGAGTACCTTGCTCTGAGCAATTTCAGCTTGAATTCCAAGAATGCCAGCAACAACATCAATGATCATCACAAATATGCAGATGAGGAAGCCATAGTTTTTGCCTTTGACCGCCATTAATGTTTGTTCCTCTCTCAGAAAATGAAGTACAGAGACAAGGGACAAAGAAGAAGAAGAAGAAGAAGGAGAAGGAATAAAGATGAAGACAGATTTGGGGGATAATATATGATATGATAAATGCATACAAGAGACCCAATTGGCTAGCTGTACAATTTTGCACAATAAAGTTGCTTTTGTTTTGTTCACATTTTCACTTTATTCTGCTTCTTCATCTTTCTAATATTCCTTTCCATGCTGCACAAGGAAACCACAGTATTGCCATCGAAACAAGCAAACTTCATATATACATACACATACTTTAATATAAATTATTATGCACATTTTAAATATTTATAAATTTAAAATACTCTCATAATATGAAGAATATTACTCCATTCGTCTTAAATTATAAAATAATTTTAAACAAAATCTCATATATTAATAAAGCTCATTAAATATATTTTTTAATTTTATTTTTTCAAGATAAAAATATAAATTTTTAAAAATATCCTTCATTTAATATTCCATTAATAAAATAATATTGAAGAGAGAGAATATATAGAAAGGATAATATTTAAAAAATATTGTTAATAAATTTTTATTAAAGTATCTTATATTTTAAGATGCTAAATTTTTTTTAAAAGTATTTTATAATTTGAGATAGAGGGCACTGATAGAGCTACATGATAGTGAGTGGAGCAAATGCACCCCCTTACTTGGAAAATATTACAAGTATGTGATGTGAATTTTGCAATTATGTACCCTCTACTCTTGATATTTTGCACCCTCTAAATTAAATAAAAAATATTTAGATTCAAAAACTTATTAGATATAAAATAGTTTAATTATTTACATACGATATAAAGAGCATATTTACATTAAAGATCATATTGACTTGTTTAATATAATTTTAAGGAAAAATGATAAACAATCTATTTATATTACTATAATTTTAGTCTTATAGTATTATTATTATTTTAAAAAATATATTAATTTTTTATTAAATTATCCTGCACACTTTGGCTTTGGATTCTGACTCTATCATTGACGGAGGGAGTATATTATAAGTTTATAACTAACTAATTAACTTGTAGGTTCAAATTTCATTGCTAATGTGAATATCATTTTTTTTACACACATGTATCATTTTATTAGAAGCAATTATATTTGAGACACAATTAAATATTAAAATGCAGTATCTCTTTCAACATAGATTCAAATATTAAATCACCATATTGTAAAGAATTAGCCCTTCCATTAGATTTAATTTTCGTTGGTTTTGAATTTCTTATTGGTGGATAATTTTAAATATCTCTATAGCCATTTTTAAGTCTGTAAACATCCAATGACTTTGGAGATCATTGAGATTGAGAGGCGACTAACCTAAGCCTTGTTCAACAAAAAATATTGCAGTACCAATAATTAAATAAAAAAAGTATCAACAATGAAGCCGGGAAAAATACTAACCATGTCTCATGTCTTTCATTTTTTAGAGAAAATTTAATTTTTAAAGTTATCTACAGTAGTATTGTCACATCTCATAGCTAATTTCTTAAATAAAAATTTTTTTTTTAATACATATAAAAAAATTTCTTTTTAATTTTATTGGTATGAGAAAAAGATATCATTGTAATTGCAGATCTTCTATCCAAAGTTTGAAAAAAAAAAAAAAAATTGCAAATATCTTTGCCTTTCCAGCACGCCTGACTTGAAGGGACAACTTGCTTGTAAATTCGACTATAAAAATACAAGAACTCATCATTTTATCCACAATTTACTCAAATTAATGCAAATAGAAATAAAAAAAATGTAGTAACTATGGCAATGAATTTGTATTAATTATAAAAGTAGATGGGATTGAGAGCCGAAGTTACAATGAGCTAAGCTAATGCAATATAATAAAATGAAAACTATTCTATTTGCTTAAAAATGTAAAATATTTTTAACTGAATCTCACTCCCAATAAAGTAGTTATCTACTTTCAAACTATTTAACTAAATCTCACTCCTCAATAAAGTAGTTATTTACTTTCAAATTAATCCTATTTTTTTATATTTATTCTTATTAAATACCTTATAATAAATATAAAGTCATTCATCAATCGGAATACTTTTGAAAAAAAGATAATAATTACAACTCAAAAGACTAAAAATACCTTACATTTTTTAACATCTAACTTTAAAAAAATATCTTATATTTTTAAATGGAGGGAGTATTTATTATAGAGCTAATTTTAATAGAGTAAAATACATCAACCTTCCTTCTATTTTATCTTAATTATAGATACCTCTCTTTTATTATTAAAATCTACATAAACCTCTCTTGAAATAAAATTTACAGAACACATACCTATCCTTTATTTAAAAAATTCCATTACCATACATTTAACTGTTAATAACCATTAAATCATACATTTTGGACTAAAATACCTTTATTTAGCATAAATATTATTTAAGAGTCATTCAAATTTTCAAACAATAATTATAATTAAGGTATTAAAAACCGGAATTGGTCATTGAATTAGTCAAGCCAACGAGTTATAGGTTAGTGGTTCAGCTTGAGTTGAACCTGGGGTCAACTTGGAGGGCAAACCGATCATGATTAAAATAATATAATTTAAATAAAAAGACATCAATCATGAAAATATTCAACCAAATCTAAGATTAATCTCTAATACAAGATACAAATACAATAATAATTATAAAATTATAACCACCCGAAAGTATAACAATAATAAAATATAACTTTTTAAATATTCATTCTTACAATTACAATTTACAACCCTTCAATCATTAAAAAGTTCAAAACTAATTATCACTGACACTAAAATCATTAACAATGATAGTCATAATTCATAAATGCTAAGTAACAATCAGACAAAGGAACAGCAGCAAATAATAGAAGATTAAAACAATTAATGCACAATTAACTTAAAATAATACTGAATCTTTAAGTTTGAACATATAATTAAGACCCTCTATTCGAAGTTTCAAACTACAGACAATGAAATATAGTTTAATTGCCTTGCCCTCTATTGCCTCTCTTTTTAATTTTCAAGTTAAATTTTTTTACTTTTTATTTATTTTTTACAATTTAAAAAATAAAAACAAAAAAATTAAAAAAGTGACCCGACTGACCTAGCAACTTGGCTACTAGGCTAGTCGGGTTATCCTGATTTAACCTCGGGTCAGGGATGGCTGGTTTAGGTGAAAACCCAGACTGAAAAAGAGACCAGGTCATAGTTCATTGCTTGAATCGGCTGGTCTGGTCCAGGTTTCCATACAGTGATTATAATATATATGATAAAAAATATTAAATATAATTAAATTTATTATTATAATATATAAGTCCAAGAGTCATTTATATAAACTTATTTAATTAAAATTTTTTAAATTTAAAAAATATAAGTGGACAAAAATAATATTTCAAACATAAAGGAATAAAAAATATAATGAATTAGAAAATTTATTGAAAAAAATAATGAGAGATAAATTAATTAATATAATTTATATTTATTTTATTAATTCTGATATAATTTATGTATTGATTTTAATATTTTTGTAAAATGTTATGTAAATATAATCATAATATTCTTAAAAATAGGAGAGAGAAGACATTATGAGGATAGATTAATAATTTTAAAATTTTTCAAAAATTTTAATTAACATAATAAAGCATTTTAGAATATTTTACAGAGTATTCCTAATTGTGTTAAAAAATAAACTGAAATGTATATTTTAAAAATAAAAGAGAGGTATCTATAAATTTAATAACCTTGAAGAGAGATCATTATATTTTGCCCATGTTAATATAGTGATTATTAGCTATTAGGTTTAGCCTAATTTTTAAAAATATTTTTTTTAAAAAATTTGTTTTATTTTCTTCCCCATCAAATTTGATTAAGCACGGCTGATTTTTTTATTTTGAGAAAAATCTAAATTATATCTTGTTAATTGGTTTAAATTTTTTGTTAAATAATTAATTTTATATATTAATGAAATTATTTTAATTAAAAAGTGTAAACCTTGATGTCAAATATTGCAATTAATCGAATTTAATTGACAATCATTACTACAAAAGTAATAATATAGGATATTTTATATAAGACCGTTGCATGCACGACCTTCCTATATAAGAAGGCGGAGCAATGGATGCGAGGAACGTTGGAGCGTACATAGGATGGTTGTACAAGAGACCGTCCTGTATGTTATTGTTAAGTAATATAAGACGGTTCCCTTTGCAATTGTTGTATACGTATTTTTGAAGTTTTAAAAAATTATTTTTTTTATATATATGAACACACAGAGGACAGTTATACAAGATAGCCGTTCTTTATGTGTCTCACAGGAATTGTATTCGACTATTCGGTGCTTCTAGCCTTCAATTTCAGTCTTATTTAATCCCTATGATCATTAAAATTAATTTTTAAATATTTTTAGTATTATATTTATTAAAATAAAAATATAAATTTTTTTAATATATTTATTTATTATCAATCTGATCAGTATATATTTAATCTAACAGTTTAATTTAATATTAAAAAATTATAATTTTATAATTTGATTATACAGATAAATTTTATACTGTTCAGGTATAATTTAGATGATTTAATTTATTAAAAAATTATAAATTTTAAAATTAATTATTTAAATGTACTTTAAATAGTTAAGATTTAATATTAAATTTTTTATATTTTATATTTTAATAAATATTATATTAAAAATATTTAAAAATTAATTTAAATGAACAACATATGGTTAAAATAAAGGGTTAAGATTGTTCTTAATCCTGACATGTGGACGCCTTATAGGATGGTTTTTCATTTGAAACGTCTCTTTCAATTCGCGAACAGTACTGCCGGCAGCTGCTTCTTCTTCTTCTTCATGTTCATATTTAATCTGGATGGTTTATATTTAATATTTTATTTTTTTTATTTTTATTAAAATTAAAAATAAGAAATTTTTTTAATAAATTTGGTTACTAATCTGGATTATTTGGATTTACTATTAATGATCTAAATTTAATATTAATTTTTATAAATTAATTATCCAAACATATATACTTTAAACCGTGCATATTTAATGTGAA